CAATGACCCATTTCCAAATTGACTTCTCCTTCTGTTTATTTTCTCCCCACATTGTCAAAGCCACAGACACAAAGCGCATTGAGCTACCTTTTGGGACATGCGCTATAGAAATGTTATATAGAAATGTTATATAGAAATGTTATATATATAAGTGAAATGGTGAAATGGTACATGTTTCACGGCCCCATCAACACTGTTAGGTCATTGAAGAGGCGGGAAAACCCAAAACGTGAGGGGGAAAAAGGTATAAAAAGACAGAAGAGAAAAAGGAAGAGAAAGAAAGAAGTGATAAAAGAATACAGAGCCGTGGAGAGAGAGAGAGAGAGAGAGAGAGAGAGAGAGAGAGAGAGAGAGAGAGAGAGAGAGAAAGAGAGAAAGAAAGGCAGAGAGAGAAAGAGAGAGTGCTGCTCGACCCGACAAGTCAATGGATTCTAGTCTTTGTATCATTCAGCGACCAGTTTCGTGCAGACTTTGTTTTTTCTTTGACTGAATTGATGTCGGCGAGTTTTACGCCCCGATCGACCCATTCTACATCACTTGTGAGGCCTGCTGACAAAATGAGTCACCTCTCTCATTCCACAAAAGGGGATATTGGCCAAAAATCGACACATGGGTCAAATTTTTAGTTTTATTATATTAATGTCATATACTTTAGGTATAACATGCTTTTTATTATTTCCTACTTATAAATTGTAAAAAATTCAGCTATAAGTGAGATATATCTTTTTCTATAAGGCTTGAATCCGAGAAGTTACCTCATTTTGTCAGCACGCTTCACAGTGTCATGGCATGGTGGAACCAATGCGCTCGTCAATTTTTGGATGAGTGGAATTATTGGCATCATCTTAACCTCTTCACTGCTGAGTAGACGAATGTTCTGGCTTGTATTCTCCACTTACATTGTTTCATCTGGTCGACAAAAAGAAGTTTTCTTTGGTATAGTAGTCACAGTAACTTACAGCTTGTGATTTTGCTTGTTTTGAAACAATTCTCTGTTTAAATATTCCTTGAATTAACATTTTATCTTGTCAGTAGCCTACAGATGTTGGTGAAATTTTTCAGCAGTGAAGGGGTTAAAGTTCATTCTATTCTCTTGATCTACATGAAAAATGTACCCATCTATCTTTAATAGAAATTGTGATATTTGCAGTTAAAGAAGGAGGGGGTCGCCTGGTTTCAGAGGTAAATTTGCGAGAAAATGGCAGCCAAAGTTGGATAACTTCCATAGTTTGAGAGTCCTGGGAAACTAAAAATTCTCAATTTTGATGCGTTTAATCAAAGTGTATCAGTGAAATTCTCACAGAAATGTGTTTTTAAATGAACCTAAAAGATGTACATGCAGAACTAACAAAACAAAAATTTTATAAAAATTGCCAAAACTGGCAAAAAAAATTGCTGTTTTCTTCCATAATTTCATTTTATTTTGACGAGCGCCTGATGTGTTTCAGTGAAATTCACACAGTAATGTGTTTTTAGATGGACATAAAAAATGTTGAACTAAAAAAAAAAAAGTGATAAAAGTTGACAAACCGGCAAAAAAAAAAGAAGCTGTTTTCATCCGTAATTTCCTTATTTTGCTGTCCCCGTGGTTTTATGCATCCCACATAATCTAGCAAAATTTGATAATTTTTTGCATAATTTCTGATTATATTCCTTATCATTCTTTGTTAAAATTAACAGAATCTCATAATTTCACATTTTTGGGCTGAGTTCGAATAATTTCATAATTTTTCTTTCATAAAACGACGGGGACAGATTTTGACGAGGGCCTAGATCTAGTTATCATTTCTTTGTTGAAATTAAAAGAATTGCATAATTTCACATTTTTTAGGCTCAGTTTGCAAAATTTTAGATTTTTTTGGTGCATAAAACCTCAGGGGCAGACTTAATAAAAAATTCTCCCCACATGAAAATTGAACTCGGGTCTTCTCTGGGTGACGGAAAAGTGCCTCTTCACTACACCACATCATACCACGGGTGTTGAATTTGGTAGAGGTCTCTTATTAATTTTGCTTGCATAATTAATTCAAATGAAGTGAACAGTTATAAAATATGATTATGATGAATGTTAATTCAAGTAAATTTGCCATAAATAACACTCTTTTGTGAATTAAGTGCCTGTCTTAAGAAGAAAAAAAAATCAGTAAAAAAATCTTTTGTCACAACTGCACTGCCTTTTGGTTCTGTGTGTTTGTTTGCTTTAGATTGTGTGCATGTGCGTGTGTCTTTGTGCGTACAGTATGTGAGGCAGCGTGGTGGGATCAGGCTCTCGTCAATTTTTTGGCATATAGAGTTATTGGTATCATCTTTAAGCTTGTTCACTTGTCTTTATTTGGATGAAAAAAAATATCCATTTATCTTGAATACAAGTCGAGATATTTGCGAATGAAGGAGGTGGGGTCACCTGTTTTCGAAAGTAAAATTAGTGAGAAAATGGCCGCCAAAGATTAGTTGTTTCCTTAGTTTAAGTGTCCGTGGTAACTGAAAATTTACAATTTTTGAGAAAAATCCACAGAGAAATCAGTTCTTTAATGGGCATGAAAGATGTTGAGCCAAAAAACAAAAATTTTATAAAAATTCACAAACCTGCGGAAAAATGCAAGTTTCTTCACTTTGATTATTTTGACGAGAGCCTGATTCCACCACGCTGCCTCACATATGAGATCTTTAAATGCTGGCATCTTTTTTATATGATATCAATGTTTTACAGAGCGTTTTTTTTCAGCTGGTAAAACATCATGTATAGCCTACAGTTTAACATGACATTTTGTTTGTTTTAGTAGAGGTTTTACAACGCTCGCAACTGCATAAGGTCATATGAGCGCCAGAAGATTAGAGGTGTTACAAGAGAGTAACAAACATAAAAAAGAAGAAGGGGAGATAAGGACGATAGATGTTTGATAGGAAAGAAGGAGCAAACCACACCAGAGCACCCGCTAACCACCCACAACATGACATTGTTCTAATGTCCTGTCTTATGCGGGAGTGCAGATTTGTAACGTCCACTACTGCATGGTAAACAACCAAGACAAATATCTAAATATCTTCCTGTGAGATGAACCAAGAATTGTCATTGTCATCATGTGTAATTTGATTACCTTTGATGGCTTCATTTATTTGTTTTTCACATTTGACAGTGTCTCCAAGAAGACAACAACTTTTCAATGCTACAACACTGAACACAAAAAGTGAGTGGACGGCGGGTGCTCTGGTGTGGTTTGTTCCTTATTTCCTATCAAACATCTATCGTCCTGATCTCTCCTCCTTTTTTTGTGATTGTCACTTGCTTGTAACACCTGCAATCTTCGGCACTTTTATGACCTTACTTATTGCGTTGCAAGTACCGTAAAACTGTTACTAAAACAAAAACAAAAACAAAAAGAACACACAAAAAAAGCAGCACCTTTCTAAATCATTGCTTTTATTTCATATAGGACTAGAGCCAATAATTTCTTATATTAAGCAGTAGCTTATTGTTCATTTCTAAAATATATGGTCGCTTTTAAGGACAAGCGGGCTAACCCAGATTTCGGGGTATCCAGAAATCTTGACCAACACTAAAAGTGGGCATTGCCCTACCTAAAGGAGAAGTTTGGTTTCATTGGTGTGTATAATTGTTTATAGAGAAAACTCTCCTTGTCTTTTACAGAAACTGAAAAAGGGGCAAAAACTTTACCTTTGATTTTCTCAAAACAGCGTTTTTCGGGATAGCCCCCTTGTGCATAAAATTACAAGCGACCCTATTTGGTAGTGAATAGTAAGTACTGGTAACTTTCCCAAGTAGCAATGGATATTTTTAGCCAAACATGTTGTCAATTGGTAAAAGAAAGGCACAGGGAGGTTTAAAAAAAAAGATCAACTGCATCAGTTACATACATACATGTGGTACGATGCCATGAAATTCATACAGCGCTTGTCAATTTTTGGGCATGTGGGGTTATTGGTATCAACTTAAAGCTCGTTCATTTGTCGATCATTCGATGAAAAAACATTCTCCAAATTTGACAAAAGTAGCAAACTTACACATTCGGTAATGCACACCTTTCTGCATAAATAAAACACACCTTGAGCAGAAGTAACACAGCCGGACCTATTCTAAAACGACCACCTGTCTAAGAAAATCACACACACAATCTATCATTTCCTTTTTCACCCCCTGATGTTTCCCTTTATAAAAATATCATAATAATACCACAGTCCAAGGCTGAGGAAAAAGCTACGACTACTACGAGCAAAGCCATCCACCCTTACGTACGGGTGCAGACCCTGACCCCCCCGGGGCAGTGTTACTGACTGACGTTGTCTTTAGGCCATTCTCAAAGGGGGGATATTAACATGTTCTTACGCACAGTAGAATTGTAAATGGGCTGACTTATCAATGTCAGGCTCATACTGTTCTGGAACTGCTGCTTTTTCTTTCCTCATCCTTACTATCGTCATTTTCCTCTACTTCTTTTGTATGTTTGTCACTCTCTTGTGAACTGCTATTTGCCAGGTGCCTTGATGGATAGTTGAAGAAGACTTTGTACTGTTGAGGCTAGAGAGGAGAGCAGAGTCAGCCTGATTCCCTGTTTGGACTTCTCTGTTGACATCCACCCCTTGGCGCTCATATACGACCTTATGTAGTTGCGAGCGTCGTAAAAACCTTACTAAAAAAAAAGGACCCTGACAAAATTGAGTCATATCAAAACTGTCTATATATGACAAGCACTTTTCTCCTCAACAAAGGGTCACTGTCTGATACGGGGTGCCCATGGTGGGATCGGATTGGGGTCGGACCGCATTGGTTTGGTTTGCTAGCCAGATTAAGGGCGCAAAGCGGCTTTCATGCCACAAGCTGATCACGCCCGACACGTCACCAACAAACATACGCATTTGTTCTTAGGCGACGAGTCGGGCGATCATCCCGACCTGACGCGAACCGATCCCATCCACAATGGGCACCCGGTATTAGGCAGTTCGGACTGTACACAAAGTCGTTCAAACACTGTGAACTTTGCCCTCCCTCTACTGCCAATCCGCACAGCAGATTATTACAACAAAAAAAAAAAGAAAGAAAAGAAAGAAAGGAAGTTGTGATGCCTCACAATAAGTTAGACACACACGGATAGTCTAGCAGAACAATCGTACACTGAAAACAGCAACCGACCATGTTGGATGTTTATGACACTACTGAAATCATAACTTTAATTGCTCATCCTGAAGAGTACCAAATTAATACATTCAAACAAGGAGACATAACTACGGCAATTAACAATAGTGAACCAAACACAGTTATTGCTCATTTAACTAATATTACATGGATATATTACAGAAGTAAATTCTAGGGTTGGGTCACGACAAAGACTGAGGATAGAACTCAAAGCTACACTCATTGGCGACAGCCGAAGAAGAGTCCTTGATGAGCTGAAAATGAAAGAGGTTCTCATTTTCCTTCGACTGCCACAGATTTACTCTAAGTTCCTCCCCCAAGTTACATTCACGGAGGTAGGACGCACTAAAGTTCTTCACATCCCTGTTTATATCTCCGACGCCTTCTAATCCATACCGTTTGATTATGTACGAGACGTAGGCATTATAGCAGTACTTAACTCCGTTGGACCAGTTCATGTGCAAATAGGAATCCACGTCACTCACCGGAACGGACACACAAAAGTCAGAAGCCAATGGCTGTTCCGTCATATTCAGTCTCGGCAGCCTCAAGGGCTCACCAGGGGAGGCGATGTTGGAACAAAACTTTTCTCTCCACCACGAGGGAGGGGCCGACGGTCTCCGAGACTGGTTATTAACGACAACTGTCTGGACATAATTAACGAAGAGGGGCGTATCTTTATCAACAGTGAAGAAAGACGTCCTTAGATTAAACGACGAGTTCCCCACATTTACTAGTTCGACATCGGCGTACAACGGTCCTTTCTTGATCGAGGGGTTGTACAGATCAGAGAACACGTCCGTCTTGGCGGCAGCGATGAACATGAAGTAGTCCTTGTACAGTTTGTGGACGTCCAGGAAGGGCAGGCTGTCGGCTGAGACGGAGTTAAACGCCATCCCGCGCTGCGCCTCCACCATCCTCAGCACACTCCAGGGCTGAACCGAGGCTGGGAATAAACGAGGGGAGAATACTGTTACCCCACAAACCTGGCAAGGGGAGTAATGTTACCTCAAAGGGAGTAATGATACCTCAAAGGGAGTAATGTTACCTCAAGGGCAGTAATGTTACCTCAAGGGGAGTAATGTTACCTCACACACATGGCAAGGGGAGTAATGTTACCTCAAGGGCAGTAATGTTACCTCAAGGGGAGTAATGTCACCTCAAGGGCAGTAATTAGCAATGCCAATCGGGCTTTCCCGCGAGACGAAAATTTGGTCCCCGTTTACGGGCGATTTTGCGGACCCGGCCGAAGTGTAGGTGACTAACTTTGTCAACCTCGGTCTGCTCTATTTCCGAACCAATCCGAATGAAACTTGGCAACCAATCAGAAAATAGGGCAAACTATTGATATATGGACGTTGAAGTTCGTACACATAAATTAACCTATACTTTGGGTGTCAGGAACACTTTCGTATCGTGTACACCGAAAACTATAACGAGTTTGAATTTCAACGCCGAGCTGGTAATAAATCTATCTATCCTCTATAGTGTGCTCAAATTTGAACGTTCTGTGTCAAGTAGTTGTTTAGACCCGATCATAAATGCACGACTACCCCCCTATCCAAAGCGGCTTCGCACGGAGACCGGCCATTTTCCCCTCACTCTCGTGGCAAATGTATGTGACCTACAAATCCCCGCATGACTATTCCGGGCCCATTCATTGGTCACTGGAAATAGGGCAATGGCGGCCGCACGCATCCGGTTGTTTTTCTCTCTATTCCCCTGTAACATCGCTATGGGGGTATTCCGAGGCGAGGATATCTCATCTCGGGGTGTTCGCGTCTCAACGAGGAAAAAGAATTTTTAATTGTACGGCATGCTAGATTGAATTAACTTATCTTTTACGGTTGGCATGGTCTAAAGTCATCATAAAAAGCTTTGCAATTATTTAGTCACGCTGCCGACATATATTCTTAAAGATCCCATGTTGTGATACGATGCTATAAATAAAATGGACTCATCCCGACACCCCTTTTTCGCAAAATCGTAATATGTACACCACAATTTTAATTATAACAAATTAACTACGAAATTGGTAGTAAATCTGACTGCAGAAATGATTTCTACACTCAAAAACACATCGGGTAGCCACGTTTCTCTCGAACACTCCAATTAGTTACCGAGATATTGTCGATTTTCTTACAGAATCTGCTACTGCGAGGTCCACTTTTTAGGAGTATTTTCCTATATGTGGGTCATCCATATTTTGCCGACCTTTACAACCCCATAACTTTTTTATTTATGAACCGATTCTCAAAATTCAAGAAGCATAATTCTTAGAATTGAAAATTCTTTCTTAGGTTTTCATTGGCATTGCTACAGTAATGTTACCTCAAGGGCAGTAATGTTATCACACACACATGGCAAGGGGAGTAACGTTACATCAGGGGCAGTAATGTTACCTCAAGGAGAGTAATGTCACCTCAAGGGCAGTAATGTCACCTCAAGGGCAGTAATGTTACCTCACACACATGGCAAGGAAAGTAAAGTTACCTCAAAGGGAGTAATGTTACCTCTCAAAGATGGCATTGGAATCACCTCATTTCAAAACTAATTTTGTGACAAGCAGGTTGATGTTGAACAGAATCTACTGCTTTTAGCTCTATAATATATATATATATATATATATATATATATATATATATATATATATATATATATATATATATATATCAAGTGGATGGCAACGCCCTCAAAAATAAACCCCCCAAAAAGAATCTAATACTGTATAACGTCCTGTACTCACCACTTCCATTATAAGCCTCGTATGGGAAACCTCCAGGTAATGTCACTCGGACTTTCGTTGGGCTCAAAAACTCTTTGGTAGCTGCAAGCTGCCGAGCAATTCTGTAAGAGATTCCGGGGAATAAAAATATAACGTGAGGCATCACCGTGAAATAGGGCGCTCGTCAAAATAATGGAATTTGGCAAATATTTGACTAATTTTTGTTTTTTTGCTCAAGATCTTATTATTATGTCCATTTAAAAACAGATGTATGAGTAGATTTTTCCTGAAAACCGCTGATTTAAGACACATAAAAAAAGAAAATTTTCAGTTTCCCAGGTCTTTCAAGCTGTGAAAGTCACCAAACTTTGGAGACCATTTTCTCTCTAATTTTCCAACTGAAATCAGATGACCCCAACCTCTTTCAATAGCAAATAACTTCTCAACTTCTATCTGAAGATATATATGGGTATTTTTTTTCCCACGAAAGTAAGACAAATAAACAAGAATCAAGATTATACCAGTTATACCAGTAGCTCCACATGCACAAAAATCAACGAGCGTCTTGTTACACCGTATCATGACACATAATATTATACTTTTAAAGATTACGGGGTCAGTTGAAAATCTGCAAATTTGACCCCAGTGTCGATTTTTGGCAGAAATCTCATGGACTGTAAGAAGAAAGAGTTACTAATTTTGTCAGCACGTCTCACATTTAACCATAACAGAAATGCTTAAAATGACTCTCATCACAGAAAAATGCAACGAAAGGAAGAACAGAAACAGAGTAATCAGCACAAGAAGAAAATCACATCATCTCACTTTGCGAAATTGAAAGCTCTGCTCGAACCCATACTCCTTGTCGCTAAACCCTTCAGAACATCAAAACGTCACTCATAGCTCACTTCCGTACGTGTCGTAGGAAACACTGATGGTCGATGCCGCACGGCAAAGGTGTCCTGTTCTCAATTATTATCTGAAATAATGAGTAAAAAGTGAGCTTACACTTACAACAGAGCAGTCGAACTGCTTGGAATGACTCTAATCAAATTAGGGACACACAAACTACAATACACACAAAGGCTTCTATAGCAGAGTACAGTTGAGCATGGATAACACATAGGCCTGGAAGAGCAACTTAACAAAACCTTAGAGAACTTGTAACAAACACTCAGGAGATGATCTGAACATCTAGATCTCTGATCCAAATTATAATCAATCAACATGCTAAGCATTTCGTAGGCCGCTATATTCGCCAGTAACAGGAACATCTCGATAGGCCTGTCATAGCACAGAAAGATACAGAGAGCATGAGCTATTACATACAGCTGATGTGTGTGCAGAGACCCCGAAAAATTTGCCATTGAGACATTAACTTACGGGGAAAACTTTTTATTTTGAGTCTGACACTCATATATATATGTATATCGTCGGCGGAGAATTCTAACCGTCCACCTCCGATTTCGTAAATTTTACAGGAGAGTCAAAAAACTGAATTCGATGGCTCTTATGGGGATTTACTATCTTTAAATGCGTTAGACTGGAATACATGACTCTACTTTTAAGTATTTAAAACAAAATTGCCGAAATTTTATTATTTTAAGTCCTAAACCAGAGTTTTACGGATAGACCGCTCAGTTTTGGATTTCTAAGCATCCAAGTGTCGACGAACAAATTGTTCGTTTAGAATTCTCCAACCAGGCGGGGACGCCACGCGCTTCGTTACGTCTAACTCAGTCATCGTGACATGTTAGTGTTACCGAACAACTCGAAATGACTACACCTGCAGTCAATCCAATAGGAAACCTACTATAAAAGTTTTAATTAGTACTACATAGTACTGTAGATCTAGAATCTAACAATAATACTGTTATTATATATATCTAAAACTGAACGTCGCACTTTATTTCCACACAATTCTAATTAGGCAATGGGCTTGTCGACAGATTAAGTGCGTCGTTAAGTTTTTACTATAAAGCTAGTATTTGATCCTCCATTCTCAAGGAAATTGTGAGAAGGATTGGTTTCTTGTCTAGCTACAAGAGAGAGAGAGAGAGAGCCCCCCCCCTCTCTCTCCCTC